GCTCACGTTTGATTGTAGAAGGTCTTTGATGTTTGGGTTCCTTAGTATTCTGACATACGGAACAACTTAGGTCCATGGCAGCTTGACACAATCGGGGTGAGTACCCCTGTTGACGCAGCATTGAACACAGCTTTTGACCATGAGGGTGTCCTAGGTTCTGATGCAATTTCAGCAAGATCGATTTTTCTTCGGCTGATATGGTCTTGAACTTTGGGCCATGGTCAAAGCTCGGCATATGGAGTTGACTCGAACTCGCTCCTGTCACTTTGGTCTGATCCGGATCCAGCTCTGTGACAGGTGCTTGGTCACTGCTTGGCAGGCTGACGGTTGCCTCCTGCGGCTCGATGCTTGTTCCCGTTGCCTCGGGACTCATATTCTGTTCGGTCGAATCACCTGATGCTTCTGACTTGGATTTGGGCAAACATGCAAACATTGTGATATTGACTCTTGCGGGATGTGCTGGGCGGACTTGCTGCCCATGAGACAGGTCTTGCCAGTATTCCCAGTCCTTTTCTACTTGGATTACCCCCCCTATTCGGCTTACGATGATGGCGCGACGATATGGGGCCTCATTCTTTACCAAATCCCTTGGTGGTGGCAATGTTCGATCTGATCCCTTACATGCTTGAACTTTCTTGATTTCTTTTTCGGGGAACATGTTTTGAAGCCTCTCCAAGATTTGGTGGTTTGTGACAAAAGTCTTCCCTACTCTTGGCAACATTGGTTGGATGTCCTTGATGATTTCTTCTAGTTGTCTCTGAGGTGACATGTTCATACTCTGCGATTCGGCCGTCTTGGCGTCAATGCGGCGGCGCTTGCACTCGTTCGACAATTGCTCCAGGGGTGTTGGTGGCAGTCGCCCACCTTGGGACTTCTGCATGGGAGAACTCACACGGATCTGCTTGGATGCACTTTCCTCACTCGGTTGATCTATTCCTCTGGTTACAAGGGCAGTAAGCTCATGTTTCACTTTCAACATCACCTTAGCTACTTGTCTTGCAAACTTTCTTGGATAGTTCTCTGTATAGCTACTGACGGTGATTCTCCCGAGAGGCGTTGTCACGGATCCGGCAATGGGTCTGTGCTCATGATCTCGACGACACACCCGGCCATGCAACGAGGCATACATCTCTTGCGATGTCGTTCTTACAGCCATCTCCTTTTGTTCGTTTCTGGACATGTCAACTGGCCTACGCGACACATGTCGAAATTGGCTTCCTGAGTATATGAATACAGCCCTTGCAGGAGTGGGGTCTTGAACATGATGGATTTTCGTGGCTGCTCCCAGTGCATGTGGTTTCCTAGCTGACGTGACACGCGAAGCAAGACTACTCCTAGTGCAAGTTCGAACAAGTGTGACTCTCTTGAACGTGTTCCATGCGCTCCATGGTCCACAGGTGGGACTGAACCATATGTGACGGGGTCTTTGTTTCCACACCATTTGAAACAGAACACTTCTCCCCTCCTTGGTTTTGAGGTCCCCCTGCGCCCTTCCAAAACGGTTGGCTCTGCCGCCCAGCAATTGGACTTGCTTCGTCAGTTCACTGGCCTCATGACAAAACACTTCCAGCAAATGTAGACGGCTGCATCCGTTCGAGATCACTGGATCACACCTTGCTAGACTGGCTTCCTTCGAGATTTGCTGAACCAGTGCATGGAATTTATGGGACAGACTGTGAGTCTTACCTGGACTGACATCTTTTTGGCACATGGACGATACATGTATATCAGCTTCCTCGAAGAGTCTAGCCATGACGAGCTCATGAAGCCCGGAGGTGGGCAATGATCTCCTGCATCGCGCCGATGGTCTGAAGGCGGGTGTCCATGGCTGCCATCTCCGTGTAGATCTCTGGCTGGATCTCGATCTCCTGAACTGGTTCCCAGGATTCGTCCTTGGCAAGATCTGCCAAGACCTGTGGGGTCACTTCCTGAATCGGCTTGGCCTTGGCCTTGCTCTTGATAGCCGGATGAAGTGGCCTCTGACTTGGTGATGGCTGCAGGTCTTGACTGTTCAGACCCAGTTGGTGCTCGGCATAGGTCACCCTCAGTGAGATGTAGTGGATGAACTTCTGATGGTTGACCTTGTTCGGCGAGTGGTAACTTGCCTGGAACCACTTCACATACTTGCCCTCCTTTTCCCACATCTCCGAGTAGGTCCGACCGAGATGGGCTGATCCGAAATCGATCTTGGCTTGGCCCATTTCGTCCAGTGATAGGAGCTTGAAGGCTTCCTTCTTTGCTTCCCCCATGACACGTGCCAAGCGGGCAATCAGAGCGGCTGCTTCGGAGGTCGGCATGATAGTGGTGCGGCACAGGTGAACGAATGGGATGGTTACACGTGTGTGATTGCACAGATCCGGTCTTGAACCCAAAACGGATGACACCGGGTTGGACCCCCCCTGGAACCGATTCTTTCTCACCCCCGCGAACACTCGGACGTTCGTTTGGTTTCTTTGTGTTCGTATGGGTCTTTGTTGATTCGGGCATGGCGGCTTCGAACTGTTGGATTCTGCTTGTTACAAGACCTGTCCTCACCTGAACGTTCTGTTTCATCATGGTCTTGGTTTCCGACTGCACTTGTCCAGGCTTCTGGACAGAGACACTTGGCAAGCTTTTGCAATTCAAAGTGGCGAAGGTCTCGGCAGGTTCGGCTTCGGCATCTTGACTGGCGGGTGTGATCAGATCATTTAGATCAACTAAAAACAAACCCTTGGCATTCAGCTGAATTGGAATGTTGCGCTTCAAGAGAGTGCTTTTGATCACCAGCTATATCTACGGTGGCCCCGATGGCTCGGAGCAGAGTATTCGACAGCAGGAAAGGTGTCTGGCCTGGCACTATGGCAATCTTGAGCTTCAGCGGTCCGATTGGGACAACGAGTGCATGCTTGCTTTCAAGTGTCCCTTGATTGCCAAACCGAAAAACCACTGAACAACGACACCTTTGGACCTGCTTCCGAACCTCTGGCCTTAGTGCGGCTAGGAGATTGGCAACGAAACCGCTTCCTATGACGGTCTTAGTAGCGCCTGTATCTACGATTCCCAGGGCATCGCGAGTTGAAAAGCTCGAGAATGCACTGGCTTCGGTGTCATGCATCGACTTGGCTTCAGGTGATTGTGCGGTGCTAGCAAACGCACTCTCTGGCAAGCTAGTCCTGACATCAAAATTCTCACACTCGGTGATCATTTCCCCTTTATGGGCTAAATCAATGATTTCCCCTTCATTGGTCTCCCACAAACCCCTCAGAACACCGGTGTCCCTTGATTCACAAACACACAAAACTTGTTTCGTATTCTCTTGAGTGGCGTTGAGCGTCTCTTCGGTCAGCTCTGGCAAATCCATGAACTCCAGTGGCAGCGCGTCCAGCTCATCATTCACTGTCACCAGTGTAGGAGCAACAGCTGTCGATGGGACCGACTGAGATCCACGTTGTGGGCATTCAGCCTTCCAATGGCCTTTTCGACCACAAATCCTGCTCTCCATGATCCTCTGCTGGAGGCTCTTTCTAGTGCCAGAAAACTTAGGAGTAGGGGGATCGCTTTCCTTTTTCAACCCCTTTCCCTTTTCCTTTGCCTTTGTTCTGACTTGTTGGCCAGAACCCACGGCTTTTGAAGCGCTCTGACAGGTGGCGACGGGCATCCATGTATGATGATTGCGTCAATGCTAGATCTTCGTTGTCTTGCACTGCATCCAACATTGTGGATTCATACTCCATGATCATGGCGGTGTCCTCGTCACCATCATTTGCAAGACTCTCAATCCATTCTTCCTCGAGATTGTAGGTGGGCTCGTCGGGTGCTTGGTCGTGACCATCAGCTTCTTGGGCAATGAACGCATTGGCCTCATAGGTTTTGGTCCTTGGATTGTTCTGCTTTCAGTGGACCTCATGGAAGAATCGACTCCCCAGGAGCTTCAGATTGGATACCACCTCTCTGTACTCCAGTGAACCCTGCGATTCAACAATCAGTCTCTTCTTGTCTTCTGAGCTCAGGGCTGAGTTGCGAAGCACGATGTATGCACGAAACTCATCCATGCCGACCTTCATGCTCAGCAACTCTTCGAATTGATGATCGCGCCGAGCTAGATAGCTCTCATGTGTCTCGTCGGCTCTTTGGACCGTGCTGTATATTGCACGCTCAAGCCTTTCAAACTTGTCCTCCAATCGGGATTTTCCCCAAATCCCTCCAAGGGCCTCCACGATGGCCTTCACTCCCTCCAAGTTTCCAACACGCAGCTTCTTTGGGTCCAGTCTTGCAACTCTCTGAAAGGCTGATCCCTCACATTGCAATGCAACTCGTGGGGCAAGCAGGTGTAGTTGTTCTGGAGGCCATAGTGATGCCAGCAACTCTACTTTCCGTGACCATTCAGTGAGGTCCGTCTCACCAGGCTTGAAAGATGGAACCTGGCTCCATGGGAGATTGCTCAAACCTCCTGTGCTGAGCCAGCTGAATCACCTTCCGGTGGCATTGGGCTGTTTCCTCCCTGGAAACCGCAGCTCAACAACTCTGTGACAACACCACCAAGACAATGCGCAACCTGTCGACTGCCTTGCGGCCAAACAACGTATTCACCGACTCAACCACGCAGTCAACAACAACCAAGCACAAGGGTCAGGTGTTGTCTGGAGCTTTAGCGGTAGCTCCGCTACCAATGTGATTGACACAAAGGTAGCAACAAAAGATCCTCCTTCCCTCGCACAGCCGCGTGCGTTTTCCACTCACAGCTCACCTGAAGGTTGGTACGAACGGTCGGGCGCCTCGCCCTGCAGCGTCCTCACTGCTTCTATGGCTCAGGTCACGGGTGACCCACCCTACACCACCCTTGCGGCCTCGCACACTCGTGGCTTCGGACGTGAACACACCTGAGTGGGTCAAGACTGGTTCCTCAGTGACCGAAAGGTTCGAAATTCACAATATATATGTACATACATATATATATTATATGTAATAATAATGCAATACTATATTACAATATATTCCCTTGTATTATATTATATACACAGATGGACTTGGGGACGAGGTATCAACTGGCTCCTAGATCTTGCTTAGACCAGGGGGTTACATGCGTGTTTGTGTCCAATTCTTGAAAGAACGGCGTTCTCCAAAAACTGAGGAAATGCTAATGGAGGCCCAATCTGAGTCTTTTGACACTTTGCTCAAGTATAGAGACAGTGACTGTGACGATGGAAGAATGAATGTGCCTGTACCTCACCGCTCACCGAACGATGTGTTCTGCTAACCCAACCATTTCTTTGGTCTAAGGACGCCAATGCAGTCCTTTCCATCATCATGTTGGTGGTCTTCGTCTTGGGTCTCACTTTGCTGGACCGGGGATTGTCCGGTGCGATGAGGCCAATGTCGGAAGGTACAAAGGTCCTTTGAAGTGTGTTGTTTCTTTGGCGGTGACATGTGATCCGATTTTCCGTTTTTGCTGTTTGAGAGTCCGTGCAGTTCAATTGATTTTGCATTGTTTGCAATTTATATAAGTTCCGCGATTGAGCAAGAGGTTTGAACATACTGAAGTACTCGTAGCTGTTGGAACAAGGACAAAGACACAGCCCAACCCCAACAGTCATAGGAACGTAGATCCAACACATGAGAGCCACAGCACATGTGATCCAGCTCCCCTAGCTCCCCTGGCTCCCCTTTTTGCCTGCCCAGACACGGCCCTGCACATGTGACTCGGTGGCTGTAGATGTGAGGACATGGTGGTTTTAGCCGTCGCATGCTTTCAGCTGCTCTTCCGCCAGACCAACTCCGAGGAACCGTGAAGAACGATCCGGTCCCGTCGGAGACGTGCGGTCGTTGCGGTCGATTCGGTGAGGAACGTGAAGCGCTACATGTCAGGAGGAAATCTCTTGTCATGGCTGCGATTTCGCATGGTGCTTTGGTGATCATGGTCAGTTGGGTCGTTGGTCTCCAAGTCTCTAAGTGTTCGTTGATGTTCGTTGTGTCAGCCTGGAGACCAGGACAACCGCTGCAACCTCATCACCTTGGCAAAGCATTTGAAAAAGCTTGCCATGCTTGACGTTCTGATTCTTGGAATCATCGTGGTGGTCCTCAGCGGATCGGTCTACAAAAAGCAAGGTGCCTTGGCCGCGGCCGCCGGCCGCAGCGGGCCGCGGGTACCAGCCGCAGGGCTTGGTCTGGGCGCGGTGGCAGTTATGACTCCGGTTGAACTCAGGGCTTGGTCACAGCATGTTATGCAGCTTTGTTAGTGCTTGCCGCAGAAGTTGGAAAACTTTGTGCTTCATTCCTGTTGCACCTGCCTGTTTCGATTCGGGCAGAAAGTTCAGAGAGTAAAATGAGAGATTATGAGAGCATGAGACTTAAGAAGCCTGTCAAGCCATCTTGGCACATTTTTGGTGGTGAAAGAATTCCTTAACTCCCTTTGATTTGGTGCTCATTTTGACTTGTTCTTCTTTCTCTCGCGATTCTTTGCTAGAGCTAAACGATCCTAAAAGTCTTAAGAATGCCCTGCTGCGTGTTCGTACTTTGACAATCTTACACATATGGGTGCTCTGTCAAGGAGTTTGCAGGCAGAGATAGGAAGAGATCACCCGACGATTTGGGAAACCTTGGAGGGAGACGTCACTTACGACGGACCCAGGCACTCATGTCCCTCAATCCTCAGCATTTCTGCTGCCTGACCAGTTTTGCTTTTGGTTTCCCTTACTGTGCACTTAGGTTTAGTATTGTCTCCTGGCTGGGGCCTTCTAGCTCTTGCCGGAGCCGAATGTATGCACTACGTGGCCTATGGGTTGGTGCGCAGCTTTGTTTCTTCAAAGGCGCAGCGGCGCAGTGGTGCCTGGAAACACAACGAGAGTGCAAACATGTGCAACGGAAAATGTGGTGATTTAATATGTTGAGACTCGCAAGCATGCAACAAATACAGCAACAAGAACGGGAGCAGAGAATCAACATGATCAAGACCCGTGTACTTCTGAATGCATCATGTCAATGTATGTCAACGGACGTCCAATGGGTGCAATGAGTTGGTGTCACGCCTAACCACAAACAATCAGTTCGAACAGACCACAATCCTTGCTTAGCTTATTTGAAAAGACATCTTATTTTCTGTCCTCAAAAGGCATATCTCCTGAATGCAGGTGTAGAGAAACACGCCTTCGCACAAGAGTGAGCGAATCTTGGTGACCCATTTTTAAGACCGACATGTCCCATGTGTTCTGCATTCGTGCTTCAGAGGCAGGGACCATCGCGGCGGACAGGGTGGATGACAAGTCCGTCTCCAAGGACTCGTCGGAGGCATCGACAACGGCTCCTCGGCACTACTAGTACAAAGTAGGAGAAATAGCTTCTTGTTACTACTAGTAAGGCACTTGTTACTAATAGTAAGGCACTATCTAATAGTAAGGCACTATCTAATAGCTTCTTGTTACTGTAGCAAAAGGCTATGCTTTGCCGTACACTTCCAGCTGATATTTTTTTCGCACGCATTGCCACTGTCATCTTGGTGCCGTGGTCTCAAGTGAGTGGCAATTGCCCCAAATGCAGTGCCCGAAATGCGGATCCTAGGTATGATGATGTATAATGTCGATTTTTGATGATTTTTAATATATTTCAACCCCCATTGAAGAGGTTTTACAATTTTACAATCCACATGAGCGACCGCCAAGATGCGCAATGACTAGTTTATGAAAGAGCGGTCGTGAATTTCAGCAATTTAGCTAAAACCTGCAAAAGAAAGCGATCACCTTGCTGAATCATGTCCTCTACTTGACAGTGCCGATTGGCAGACGCTCACATGGGGTCTTTATGAATCAACATTCTACAGTGTCTACGTTATTCTCTTCCTGGGCTTTGCACCCGATCGGATTCCATTCCGTGCCACAATCGTTCAGGAAGGCGAGCTGTCTGCTTGACGGGAAGCCGAGCGTTTGCATGTAAGGACCATGGTCCCAATTGAGGGCTGAACCCTGCCTGGAGAGTGTGGAGGTTGTTGACCTACCGCCTATAACTTCCTGACACGATTGACCATTTCAGAGAGTCGTGACCTGGATTGACCATTTCTAAATCGATGAATCTCCAGCAGGTTTACTTGATCTTGTGGCATTATGCGGCTCACGGGGGAAGTATACAGCTAACCTGGGCTGCAGCTGCAAAATTAGTTGCAGCGATCAAAGTTGTTTTGATCACAAGCGTTGGCTTGGATTGGACTGGATAGCTGATCGAGAAAGCACTTTCGTCACAGGAGGCTCATGAGTTAGCAAGGCTGATCAAGAGTCCCACAATGTCCCTTAATTGTATGTAGATCATCGGACGAAAGGTTGAAATGCACAGAACACCCACGGATCCAAATTGTTATGCAGCTTCCGTCTGCCATTCCAAAAGCCTGCACCGCCTGCACCTGTATTCGCCAGTTCCAGCCGTGGCACGATCCAATTGAGGCACAAAAACTGGAACTCCTCTGATTCAACATTGCAAATCATTTTCCGTGCGCGGCAATGTTTTTGAATTTCTCAATTATGGAGTGCGCAATGCACCTCGGACACCTCAGACTGAGACGGGCCGACATCGCCTCTCTCGCGGCTGGGGCATTCTCATTGCGGTTGTCACGAACCAAGCTGGCTACATGGCCGAGAAGCCGAGCGGACTTGGCTCAACGTGATTGCTTGGCCCCACGCGGGCGACGGTGCGTTGTTTGTTCCAGCAAGCCAGGGGCAATTGACTTGGGCTGGATTGAAAGCCAGAGACTTGTTGCCCGGCCAACGACTCAGGGTTGTAGATTTGAAGTGAGACTGTTGACAAAACGTTAGGAGATCGGAAAATGATTATATATATATATATACACCAAACTCAAACGCTTTCTTTGAGAGTGCTATGAGGTGAAAAACGTCCATATCCACTTGGCGTTTTGAAGAATCCAGCCTGCTGATGTGTGCGCATGTGTTTGGTCACCAGGGCACTTGAGTCGACACTGCAAGGTGCTCTTGGCACTCGAACATCACGAGCCTTTTGTGGTGACATCAACGACAAAAGGGAAAGGAATGCTCTTTAACCCAAGCGTCATGTGTGGATATTGCTGAAGCTATTCATGGGGTTCTTTTCAATGATGTATTGGCGCAGGGGAAAGTTAACTGGTGTGAATATTCTGATCTTGATATGTCAGATGTCAACAACCAAATTGACACTGGTACTGGTACAGCCCATTTTTCGGAGGTTTTCGGTGTCATTCGGTGTGACTTCTGAATCGATTCGCTGCCCGATGCCTGACCGTGCGCTGACCGTGCCGTGTCTCCAAACGAGACAAGATGAAAGCTGAAAATGGCCGTGTGGGACCGTGGGACCATCCAAGACCACAGTAAGGCACCTGTTACTACTAGCGTGGCACTTGTTACTAGTAGCTTCTTGTTACTACTAGTAAGGCACCTGTTACTACTAGCGTGGCAGCCCCATTTGTTCACATTCCAACCGCGTGTGTTGGCAGTGCCGTAGGATTCCAGTACCGCCCTCTGGCTCCCAAGGTTGCAGCTGCCAATCGACGAGTTCCGAGACAGGTCAGTTGGCTGCGGGTCAACAATTTGTAGCCTCCATTTTTTTTTTTGACTGCAATTCATTTGGTTTGGAATTGTGCTTGTTAGACACATTCGCGAGGGACGGACAGTTCCATGGTACAACCCATGTGCTAAGTTCCTTCGGTTCTTCAGGAATCCCATTTGGACGGAAGTCTTGGGAGTGGGGCGACACTTGAGAGTTCAATGCCCCGACATTGCAAGATTGACTCCCCCCAAATAGGGGTACCACGCTGCTATCCGTGGTTAAGACATTAAACAACGCATGAATGTCGTTTGTCTCTCTGCCGTCATGGCAAGTAGACGATGAAACGAATAGAGACTTCAGCATACTTATACACTACCGCAAAACTAACTATGGAACCTGGACCCCCTTGGAAGGCCATTGTCCACTTCCATGTTAGTTGCAGGGACCGTAGCTGATGAGACCTGTCCCAGACCGACGTCCGACGCAGCTCCGCGTTCGAAGCTCCTTCGATGTTCCGAGCTCCGATCGGAGGATCCTGCGACACATCCGCGAGAATCGGGTCTGAGCCCTGACAAGCTGTGGAGATAGCGTTGAGGTGCATCAAACTGATTGGTTCAGTGGTACCAGTAGAAGATGTCCTACTAGGAACACCTGTGAACAGCTGTGTTTAGGGGCAGACACACTCTCACTCTCACACACACATTCAGAGCGGAGTTGTTGCATGAAGCTTTTTGTAACATGTCCAGTCCAGTCCAGTAATTAGGCCTGTTTTCAAGCTGATGTGCCGTTTCATTTCCAATTCAAACCCTACAGATTTGTGTTGAAAGGACGGCTGCTCCCCCGACATGCGGGAGCTTTCGCAATTGCTTGGACGTTCCAAACGGCGTCTTCGACGAGTTGCGCGGGCAAATTGAGGTGACACACATCCAGGGCGAGACTGGTTGTGGCAAATCGACTCGTCTGCCACAGTTCATCTTAGAGGACGCGTCGAATGGGTCGATGACGAATCACGGGATATCGCGGGATGTCATGATATATCACGGATTTCCCCGCGTGCGGCAACCAGATGCGGTTTATTATATGTCTATTTTTTGGTGTGGTGAGAGGCAAGTTTTGAGCCGCCATGTGTCACTGACTTAGCTTTAAGGAGCGTGTTTGGCTGACATTAGCCTTTTCATTGGTTTGCTCATGTCATCCACTGGACCTACGCAACCTGTAATCCATATTACGCACACAATCACAAGGAACACGTCAAAATGGACCATACCCCACAAAGTATCTCTGTCTTCTACAGTTCTGCACCTTTTTGATCCGTTTTGGTCACCACATGCCGTTCGGTTCCGGCCAGGATGCCCAGGAACGAGGTGAGGAGATCCGTATGGTGGTGACCCAGCCCAGGCGAGGTCGAAAGAAAGCGAGATGGCTTCCTGCGTGGGGTGAGCATGTGTTCGACCAAAATGCGAGGAAAATAACTATTTTCTAGTGTTTACCATGTTTTCTTTGTCAAGTGAGAACATTTTTTGTGATCGACCACACTAGGGATTGTAGTATGGCGTTCTTCGTGTAGCTGTAGCTGTGGCTGTTCCGAACCTCAAGAGATTTCATCAGCTTTTTGCTGGATGTTTTTCCCCACCTGCCAGGTGAGGGTTGTTAGATTGTATCACAGCTGTTCTTCCTCCGCCTCCGCCTCCGCCTCCGCCGCCTCCTCGTCCTCCTCCTTCCTCCTTCCTCCTTGCTTCCTTCCTCGCCAATCTGCTTCGCCGATCTTGTCTGGCCAGCACCGGATCGCAGTGTGCACCCCTGGACCTCAACCGCAAGGATCCCCTTGCAGTGTGCATGCCTGGACCTCAACCGCAAGGATCCGATCGCAGTGTGCATCCCTGGACCTCAACCGCAAGGATCCGATCGCAGTGTGCACGCCTGGACCTCAACCGCAAGGATCCGATCGCAGTGTGCACCGCTGGACCTCAACCGCAAGGATCCAATCACGCAACCACAAGCACACAACCACAAACACACAACTACAAGCACAACCACAAACACAACCACAAACACACAACCACAACCACAACCACAAACACACAACAACAAACACAACCACGAACACAACAACAAACACACAACCATAAACACAACCACGAACACACAACCACAAACACAACCACGAACACACAACCACAAACACAACCACAAGCACACAACCACAAGCACGCAACCACAAACACAACCACAAACACACAACCGCAAACACACAACCACAAACATACAACTACAAACACACAACCATAAACACAACCACAAACATGACAACAAACACAACCACAACCACAACCACAAACACAACCACGAACACAACAACAAACACACA